GTGACCTTGATAAAGGAGAGAGATTTCTTCATATTTCAGATCTTCACAGTGTCGAGGGAAGCTAAAATGTCTTCGATGGTAGATAACACCTCTTCCTTGATGGTGTTCAGTGCCCGGTCAAATTGCGCTTATTGTTCGACACATTTTATGATAGTGAGAGAGTCCAAATATAGTTTACCTGGACAATGAGATAGCATGATTACAGATTGCAGGTGACCGAATAAAGTGTTGCTTACGATATAATGGCCTTCATCTTCTGATGGGTCGAGGTACGCTCTCTCTTTGATGTTCATTCATGTCACCCTCATTGTCCTCCTCTATGAACACAGCTGGAGCATTTTTGTGTGCATCGTCATGTGTCGCATGCATATTTTATAGAAAATTGGAGGTCGTCACCTGATAGTCCATACGAATATCTGAAGTTGGGCTCAAGACTTGGGCATTGACGCTTTCATTCAAGTTCTCACTTCCTGATGACATTTCGCTCCATAAAATGTGGTGGTAAGATGGTCTGACCTGCAGATGAATTTTGTAATTTGCATAGCAGTCATGCACCATGGTCTCGACACTTTGAATATCACAGTTTGAGGCATCCTTCACACTGTGTCCATTCAGATCAAACTGTGTATGGTTATGACCATCCACCATCTCATACATCTCATCATCTCACTCTTCTTCCTCCGAAGGTAGTGGAGTGGACACTACACTAGCATGTCTGACATTGAATGATTGAGAGCATGTGAGCTCATCGACACAAAGAGTGGCCATGCCTTGCATATACTCTGGGTTTTGAAATGCCATGGGCATGGTTCACTTTGCACTCATTGATGATTGCACTGCTGCATCAATTATTTAGAGTGTAGAATAGACGAAGATCATAGAGCAACTCTCACACTTTTTCGTTGTTGCCCACTTTGTTCCTCCATCAGATTGTCTCCTTCCAATGATCGTTTCAGTCCTACGATCATTGTCAACATATAAACAGAAAGAGAAAAATGATCATATACCTTTCTTGCTTCAATATACAGGTTTTACGAATAAGCTCGCATATTTTCTTGGTGCCGTAGAGATATGATGAGCCATCTTTTTGTAAAAATCACCGAGGATGCATTGTCGAACATTAGACCTGGACAGCTGTCAGGATGGTAAGTGTTCTAAGATGCCTTCATCATCGTAAAGTGGGTGTACAGCCAGTTCTGGAGCCAAATCCCAGCTGGAGAGGCTGACACGTTCACTTTGATGGTTGGCGATGGTGAAGGATCAGAGAAATGAATCCAGATTGATGTCAACATCGTATATCACAGAAAGCTGCAAAAACATTGTGTGGACAAGTTGCAATATTGCTCGGGCCATCTATGAGACGTGTTCAACAGGATTCATCCATCATGAGCTGTCCATCTTTGACCAGATTGGAGCAATTGGTCCAGGACCTGATCTGGGGAATGCCATGTTCATCCAGGGAAAGGTTACAACTGTTAAAGAGAATTAAATTAGTGTTTACGATACATGATTGGTTGGATGTCTGAACTTACTTAACACCCATAATCTCAGAGGTGATATATATGTAGCAGCTCGTTGAAGTTGGGTAATGCCACAATAGACAAAGCTGCCATGGTGTGCTTCGATGAGCCTTCGATGATTGCACTGGATGGGTATCCTATGGTGGTGAATCTGTATGCCCAAGACAGAGGTTCCTCTCCTGAGGGAGTGATGGGTGCCGTTCCACCATAGTCTATGCACCCCGTGAAGTAGATGACACGACTAGGGCTGAGAATGAAGTATATGCCTAGACTAGGGCTGAGAATGAAGTATATGCCTAGACTGGGAAATAAAATAGTCCCTTATCATATTCTGACAGCAAATCTGAGCCACATGTCATGCACAACATTCCTATGATGCTGTCGAAGTTGTCGTAGTGTTTTTTTGCTAAAAACTGTCATCGACTTGTCAAGTTCATTTGCTGAACATGACCATTAAATGGGATACCGATAATGTCATCAGAGCCATCACTTATCACTATTATCCACTTGGGCAGAAGTGAGGTTCAATTGCCATGACATCCAATGTGTGGAGTGTTGATCACATTAGCATAATCTTGCAGATTCTTGACCATCTCTGGAGGCCTCTCCCTCAGAAAGTGATCTATCGCATATGCAGATACGGTCTGTGATTGTGCCTTAAGTATATACCTGCAGTGTCACATAGGTAAGAATGAGCACCTTCAAAAAAACTTCTTGCATCCGTAGATGTGGATCATTGATATTTTCATCATAAATCTTGCTGTTTGCCATGGGCGCATTTGCCAGATGAGGCTTTTCAACCAACAATCCAAACAGATAGCATCGTGTATCACTAACAATCAGTTTTGCTCGACCATCTCATTTGAATGCTGTAACGTCTCTTGTATGGCATTCACGAGGATCCAAGATCTGCATTCTTCGTTCTTCGAATGCAACTTGAAGTGTATCACTTTGCGAGGTACTATCTTGTCACATGAGCATTGCACGCAGATGTGGTAACATTCATATGTACTCAGATGGCATGAACACAATAACTGCATCATCCATAGAGTTCCCTTCTCCATCCTGATCTCTACTCATGATCCACGTGCTAGGTCCTATCTCAAAATAACCTGCACGACATTTAAGATCATTGAATAACTTCTGCAAAATTTTGCCGATGCACCTGGATAGCTCATATCCATATCACCCAGCTTTTCTAGAGGTATTCCCAAATCCTTCACCCTTTCCAATTCCATCTTTTCCCTTCATCTGTTCCATCCATCAGTATGATGATCATCTTTCCACACAGGACGCTGGCAGGATGAAGTGGATGATGACCATCATATTCATAAAGTCTCAGAAGAGATTCATCTCAGCTCTGAATATCGAGTGGCACAAGTGACTGATGAGCTGGCAAAGGTTCCATGGTCGAAGTGAGTGTATAGTGGGTGCTGCCACTGAGAGATGGTGAAGACATTCACTGCATGTGGCAACCAAACAGGAGCGATTGCTGCGATCACTGTGGGAGGTGGAATGTGGGGGTTGTTGATCGCCTCATTAGTTTTATTCAAATTCACGCAATAACGTCCGCAAAATAATTCAAATGTATATTGTATCAACATAGATCAGAACCAATATAAGACCAGTGAGTTTGCCATCCATTCGCAACATTTACTGACCGTTCACATCAAAGCCTGACCATCCGCATGAAAGATAGGCAGTTGCACATTTCTTGCTAGCCAAATGGCGGCAAATTATCACGTCTGTTGTTCGTGCATATAGCTGGCAGCATGAATGGTAAATGTGATTATTTGCAGTTATTTTATCTTTTCCCGCACTCCACGCAGGGTGACTAATGGAACGAAAAGGCTGTGGCACATTTGTTGATGACCAAACAGCACCACATTATGACATTTACTGTTCGTGCAACTAGCTAGTTGCATGAAAGGTAAACGTCATAGTTTGGGGCTATTTGCACCTTTTGCATATGGTGGCTGATGGGAATGAGGGGAGGGGAAGCATTACGGCATTACGGCATTCACTGATGACGCGTTCGTACCATGCATCCTGGGCTCCTCATCATTCAGCTGAGCTGGCCATCAGCAAAAAACTTGGAGCTTGTGCTTCAGCTCACCTGTTTCCTCGCTGCTCTCATTGCGCCATCTTGATCATGATACTGCTGCCTCATATCACACGGTGTTGTCTTCCCAGATAAAATCATTTTCTCTGTCGATGGACGTTGCCAGTGCTGTTGACAAGGTTTCCTGGAGCAAAAGCTGGCAGTGAGTAATGGATTGTCATCAAAGGTTCGACATGATGTTTGTTTCATAGCGCTCAGTGGAGGAGTCATATGGGAGGAAGGGTCGCTCTGTCTTCAGGAATATGAAAGATGGCATTTATACTGCAGCGAGAAATGTGCTCCTCACATTGCGAAGGGTAGGGACATCCGGGGAGAGGCTTTGAGCGAGGAGGAAGAAAAATTGTGACAACCAAATAAAACCACATTATGATGTTTACCGTTCATGCATCTAGCTAGTTGCACGAATGGTAAATGTCATAATGTGGCTTTGTTTGCGCATTTTGACCTCAGCAGCCACAATTGATTGAACCAGCCACCGGTTGCTAGAGATCTTCATTCTGTTATGATGGATTACAAGTTTTCTCCTGGAAAATGTTGCTTGCGTCAATCTGATGTATTGTTGTATGAGCGCAATCATTTTTGCATGTCATGCTCGTCGTCATCGTCAGAAAGTTTCACTGCCACTCGACGCGGTTGAACTCCCTTGATCACTCCATTGATTTCTCATATGTGCGCTCTCATTCATTTCTATATCTTGCTCATTGAAATGAAGTTGGCAGTCCACAGTTGTTCACGTCTAATGTGAGAAGATCACTTCAAACTTGCTGATTTCATCTCTTTGCAGAACAATGTTATCCTGGTGAATGCTCTCATCTAAAGATGAATCCACATGGAGCCTTTTCATGCACTGCTCGGCCTCATCAACTACAACCTTCTCCTCATCCACGTCATAACCAACCGTGCGCTTAAGTGGCCTGTGATCATGTCTTCTGCCAATTTTTGGTGCAGATCTTGGATGAAAATGAATGATGCATGGTTTGTTTTTCGAATGTGTTCCACGTACGTGTTCAACACATCTATCTATTATGCAGATTGATACCAGCTTGTTGATGAGCCTAAGCATATTCTTCTCAGTGTGTACCATCTGGTACGATACTTGCAGTTCAACTAGATGTCCCAGCTGTATCGATGACAGATTTATGCAAGATATCTTTGCGATACTCTGCTGATGCTAAGTTATGATTAAAAAGGAGAAAGAATGACTTACTGATGAACACGTCACTCATAATACCCCACTTGATTGTCTTGCAGGTGTAAACAGTCCTGATTTTGACGGCGCATGAGAATATCGAATGGATCGATGTTGACAGGCAGTGATAGAGCTGGGCCGTTATCAGATTTCTTTTAGAGGTGAAGAATCAGTTGAAGAATTGCATAGAAGCACTGTCGTTCCAGTTTTCTGACTGCCATGGTTGTAGCGTGAGACCTGATTGGTTTTCTGAACATAGCTGGTGTATCGATAACGCTCCTCGCAGATAATCGTCAAAAGGTTTCAAGCCAAGTCCGGTGAGCGTGACTGCCTGATGAGCATTCGGGATATGTCGAGGCAGTCTATTGCATGAAATGTGAGCATTATAGATGCGTGGCCATATATGTGGACCTACTGAGAGTTGTTCATGATAGGTGGAAGGCCTTTATTGCACACGTAACCCAATACATACAGTACCACCTCCTCAGCATCATCATTGTGATGATTTCCCAGTAGACCATATCAAGTCAGCTTCTCGATAACCATTGCCCTTTTCTGCTGAAGCTCGTACAGGCTTACGAGTTTGTGGACCAGTTCCACCTTTGTACAGGTTTAGTTGTGACTCTTCACAGTGAAGAAGCACTCACATCTGCAAACCCTGCCAGATTCTTGTCTCCAACCTCTGCGTGACATTCATCTATGTACTTCTTGAGAGTCGCAGCTGCCACTCTGTCAACATTTCTGCTCCCCAGTCAATGCAGAGAACAAACCATATATCTCTCTTCTGCTGCAAGAGTTCTAAAGCCATGGTGCTGGGAGCAGTGTTTGCCTGTGAACATTACCCCTTACTTGACTGAATGGTCCTTATTTGGAGAAGATCCATCTTCAACCGGTTCTCTCTGCACGGATTCATCGCGATAGTTTCCATGACCTCTTCTCCTAGGTGTTAATTGGCTTTTGAGAATCGCTTATTGAATGCTGCTAGCTGTGTGTGGGCTGCACTCAAATAATGTCTTTGCCTTGTATTTCACATGCCCTATCTCATTTCAGAGGTGCGATTGAAAAGCATAAACCGTACGAGACTGCGAGCATCCAGGAAATCTGTCTACCACTTGAATATTGATTTTACTGAACATGGCCAGCATTGAAAACCCGTTCAAGCTGACCTATCATACATGGAAGCAACTCATTCACGCTGGAGGTGGCTATATGTGCTGGGCACTGCGATTGCGCAACATTGTCATTTTTGAGACCGATCACTTTTAAAAGTGATGCCTCCTTTGTAGGCTCGCGTTCACATAGTGCTTTCTTCACCTTAAGTACCCCTGACCAATGTCAGATCTGACAGGAGACTTGTTCTCTGACTACCTGCCAGTAAATATTGGGATTGTACTATACAGGGAGACCGTGATGAGTTCTGGAATGTCTCATGAATGGTACAAAGGAAAAACACAGTTCCTGTCCATCAGAAAATCAGGGCACATGGGCGAATGCGATAGCATGATCTCAGAGTTCAATTATGAGTGCAGTGTTTCCTGGCTCTTGGTAGTGCAATGAGCATCCATCAATGTTTACCTGTTGCAAAGATAAACGATGGTTTGAGGAAAGACCTCTGCCGCTCAGTGCTCCTTCTTTAAGATGATTCTCTCAGTCTGGCACTAATACTTTCCATAGTGAACATGGAGGAAAAGCATCGGAGAGGAGCAACCGATCAACTCCCATTTCTCCTGAAACAATCAGTGACTCTGAGAAGGAGTACGTGTGATTCCTAGTTTTCAGGATGCTGCTGATGTCTTGCCAGACCTACTCCACCTCCCAAGTCTGCTTCGTATGTTTCCTGTATGCTTATTTTAAGCTTTCAATGTTCTAATGCCCATACCTAGATTGACGCCAATGAGACGAAAGGCATAGTATGTTGGCTATGTTTTATGTTGACCGCGTTTGATCTCACGTGCTTCAAGTGTCACTATGTCCATGGACAGTGGTGCCCCAGCAGCATGAGGTCAAAATGGTAAGTGTTCTCTGTGAATCTATTCAACCATCACTCCATCTGCATTTCAAAAATGCAGAAAGAAGCAAAGATGCCAACCGTAAGGCTGTCCAATTGTGAGTGCTGGAGTTGAAATCCAGATGCATTATTCACTGCCATATAGATCGAATGAAGGATCTGATCATGATGCCCCAGATAACCATGAGTGAGTGTCAACGGTCATGATAACTCCCATCTCAGCTCCGATGAGGTGATGAATGAAAAGGGAAGGTATGCAGTGAGAGATGATCCTGCAACTCTGAAAAGAAGGTATGTCTGCCTTCTATGTGTCCCCATCGGCCACTTATGGTGCATCTTCGCACCAGGATGACTATTCCAATGCCTCCTGAGACACCATGATGCCAACTCACAGCCGTCGTGCACATGGTGTTACAAGACTGCAGAACTTGTAAGTTGATCTTTATACCTTGAAACGCTTCCTCCTGACCTGGTTCCTCATAGTCGGTCATGGTCAGAAGATGGGTCTGACAAGTTGGTTTTCTGACAACAGAGTCCAAAATGTTATCATTCACAGTGTCTTTTACAGCCCCTCGCCCAACAAGCGTTCCAAAGCAATAGTGTAAGCCACTTCCTTTGTTTCATTGTGAATTGATGTACTGATAGTTTTTGTGCCTCCAGCATCTCTTCTGATGAAGAGAAACAGGACTCTGATGAATCTGAGGTGCGCAGAGAGGACGAGTCAGCTATCGACTTCATACGGAGGCAGAGAGAGTACGTCATGCATAACATAATATTGATGGGCAGGATATAATGTATCATCACAGTAAGAATGAATCCAACATTCATCCTCATGGCTAAGCTGACCGACCAGAGGGATGAACTGGACCATGAAATCGAGAGGCAATGTGTTCACTGCGGAAGAAGTATGTTTCGCTATCACATGTATGAGTGTGTCATTTCCTGTTGACACCTGTTCCACACAGTTGGTAGGCAACCTGTGAATGACTTCATCGATGATGAGGTGAAGAAAAGCGATGAAGGTACAGACAATGGATGGTAGGTTTACACGGAAACTTGGTGTAACATGGACATTCAATTCTTCCTCAGGCTCAATGACGATGAGGCTCTGAGTGAAGATGACTCACTGAACGGGTTTATTGTTGATGATGAGTAGGTATCACTGCAGATCTTTTTGTACGTAATTGACAGGAAAATACTAGGGATGACGGCCTTGTTCAGAAGGCAACCACACTGCAACAGGACACAGATGTACATGTATCCTCTAGATATCTGTTTTCTGGTGGCCGCTGTTCACATCTCATGTTTCAGCAGGACATCCAGTGCCAGAAAGGTTGACATGTTTGACCCATACGCACCCTCTTTTCAGTTGAGGTAGAATAAATGTAAATCGTTTTGACGAAAGGTGACGAAACACGACAGCAAGAATGTCAAGTTACTGTTCATGGTCGAGGAGTACATCTTTTAGTTTACATCCGAGACATTCCATTGACCTTTCTCTCAGTGAGCATCCTATGCCGCAGGGTCACAAGGGTAAGGAAAAAGCTGAAGAGAAAGCGTACATACAATTCGTTCAATTTTCGGTCCCATGTTGATGCAGTATGCAGGGTGAAAATTCAAGGCAAAAAGAAGGAAGACCCTCCTAGGTTATTGGATCGCTCCTTGTGGGATGATCTATTGAAAGATACTTATGCCAACATCCCTTATACTCTGTAAGTTATCATCACATGCTATATCTTATTATAGATTGATGGTATGCCCTTCTTGTAGATGGTGCTACACTGAAGCCAGTTTCACTCATGCAAGCGTTGACCATCGCGAAAAATTTGGTGTATGCTCGGTACGTCTCCTGCTATGTTGGTTTTGCTCGGGATATCGACCTATACTTTTAGGGGTATCATTGAGCTGATGATAAGGGCCAAACCGTGGCCTGGGCAGGTCATCATTCCTGGCCATGTTCACCCAGACAAGGTCCAAAATCTTCGTGGATCACTCTGTTTCTCTCATTCCATTGAAAAGGCCATGTGCATGACCTTCGTATAGCTCAAGCGAGTCATCTCACCAAATCACGTACGTTTACATCGTTGAAGGGAGAAATGCAGATCAAGGAGCTTCACATTGTTTCCATCATGCAAGAATGGGAACTTGCACTAGGATTTCATGGGATGCTCTTTGGCCACGACATCGAAGATGGAGGTGAAATGACCGTTAAGAATATTCGCTTCAGCGCATTTGAGGGCATGTCATTCAGTACATGCATGTCTCACACGGAGTCCAATGAGATGTCTAGCAGCTGTGAGCATCATTTTATTTTCATGTTCTTATTTTGAGATTCGTCGCAGACAACACCAAGCTGAAGATGTTGCTCGGTGAACACTCCACATCTCTGAGAAAGGCTGGACCATCCACGCACTCTTCACCATCTGAGGTCTTGCCTCTTTTTCCTAAGCCAGTTCTGGGTAATCTTGCCATTGGTGATACCAGTACACACACCACCAGCGACTTTATCCATTCCTCTCACAATAATTCTTTCTAGTTTCAGTGTTTGACTGCACCCACTACTTCCAGCGAAGATGAGATGCCCCACCTCCTTTCGACCTCCAAGATGTGCCCGCTACATGCCCCTTGCTCAAGATGGAGCTGCCCGATTGCGTGTTGGTAGCAGTTCTGCACACAGCTAAAGTCTGGAACAGTGCAGATCAGGGTGATACTATGTCGTTCAACATCTTGAGTGTGCTGTTGTTGCTGCTCCCTAAATCATAAATGTGCCTTTCCTGAATTGTTATCACCCACGAATAAAATCTCATTGGTGAAAAGTAGTCCTCACACTTTAAGATGACGCGTTGAGATGTCTCATCAAGAACATATTTTCCATGCATTGCAATCATTTTTTGTGATCTTAAAATGAGGCAACCTTGTTCTCCTCTGACAATACTGTCTAATCACGAAAATACTCCTCGTCAAGAGAACTTTTAATTTCGAATATTGACGAGTTTCCTGACCTGTGGGTATTTTTGGAATGACGATCCTCGAAAGCAGTCGTCGACCTCATGCCCTTTCCATTCTTCGTAACTTCCATCCCCCTGCTTAAAAATAAAAAAACTCACATCCTCGAGCCTCTTTATGGCATCGAGTTGTATTGTGTGCACAAATCCTGCTGCTGCTTATATGGCAGAATTCTTTTGGAGCTCCAAACGTGAGCATTGACGTTTCTTGGCAGCTGCCAGTCGACGACCTGTGGCGCATTGAAGCAATGTACAGGATGATGGCGGACTTCCCTAAAACCCATTCCATGCCACTCTGCGATGGAGCCTTGATGGGTGCTTCCTACAAAAGTCCCTTACCCCACGATCACGATCGCTCGAGTACAATGAGCGTCCCAAACCCAATTTCACCACTCCTGAGTGTTTCGATGAGAGTGTATTCTGCACATGAAATGTTCCCTCCATACCAAATGGCTGACCTCTCATATGAATCAATATCGGAAAATGCATCGTCATCAGATCTTTTACGTCTCATGTTGTTTCACGTTCACTGGATCTATTCCTTGAAGCTACTCACAGTTACGATGATGCTCGATGGTACGCATTATCATTCATCGACATATAATTCTCACTGCTTGTTCTTTGATAGCTACTTCAGCAAGGAGGAAATCACTTCTGATGTGCCTCACTCGGTTCCATTCAGCATCACATAATCCACTCTCTATTTCAACCTGTCATTCCATCGCTGCACCAGGTTACTCTGATAAGAAACCTGTTGTTAGATATGTGACCAGACATCACGACTTCTTGTCTTTGTTCCTACAATGTCAAACATCATCCTTCGTATTGCTAATCAACTGGCAAATGGACATTTGCGCTTCTCGCATTTTCTGAATCATTTATGAACTCCACTTGCATTTTACAAACCATGACCCTTCATTGCTCGGTGGATGTTCAAAATGTGGGTGAGTTTATCGATGGACTGCAGAAAAGCTCCAGACATTTATTCTATTCGACATGCATGTGGACTGTTCACGTAAATACGAGTATCAAGGATACATCATGAAAACTCCTTCAGATCATTCTGAAGATGATAGTACTATCTACGCATATATTCCATTATCTGTGTTGGCATCAAAGCTGTCCAAAAAGTCATTGATCTCTGTATGTTCCACACATCAGATTCATGTCGCACGAAGTAGATCATCGAGAGAACAAGTACGGGCTCACTGCGCATCATGCCCCAAACTCTTTTCGATATTTACATCTAAGATCACATTAACAAGCATGGAATGGTCTCAAAAAACTCGACTCAAGACGAAGAAGACAAAGATGGTCAGATTTCCTCCATCTCCTCTGATGGAAGATCTGTTCGCTCAAATGATCAATGGCTTTTGTGAAGACATCAACAAGGACAAATTCTTGAAATCTGCTTGTGCGGTGTGTGGTCAATTGTGTCTCACTTCAACTCTCTCTAAACTGTCAGATTGTGACGTAGACCTCCGAATACTAATGCCCACTACACAAGCAATGACAGGAAGGAGCGAGGAAGTGTCCAAGATCCAATAGCAGAGCTGAAAGGATCAGTCATCCTACCAACTTGCGATCACATTTGTGCGAAATGTCTACATGATCTTGAAAAAGATTTACTCACGACGGATGCGCTAGCTAATGGCCTTTGAATTGGAGAAATCCCTTCTCAATTGCGAGACCTAACCTGGTGTGAGAAAATGCTTATATCAAGGGTCAAGCACAACTACTGCATAATTCAGGTCAAGGTATCAGGTATGTGGAAAATGCATGCCAATGCCATATGCCATTCTGTGTCGATGTCCAAGATTTACTGAAGCTTGCCTCCTAGCTTGACGAAGTCCTCACATTCATATATATCAGACCTTGCAAACCTACAGGTAAGCAATTTGCCAGAACACCATCTTCGTAAGGCGTAACAAGGTTGCTGAAGCATTGGAGTAGGTTAAAGCTAAACCACGAAGATTACGCAGACTTGAACATCTCCTATAAGAATCTCAACGCCTACTCAGAGAATGTTCCTCCTGTGATCGTAGACTATCATGATGGATATATGAACAAGGCTCCAGAAGCTACTGCAGTAAATGATGTGGATCTGGATGAAGGTATCGCAGAAGGTCCCTGTCCATTCACTGTTCACGGTCTCACCGAAGATGCCTACATCAACCTCTTGGATGATGATTATCAATCAATAAGGGCAAAGGTTATTCATCAGTTCAAAAAGAGCAAGGTTCTGGATGTTGGTCAAGAACAAAATCCTCAAAGCTTATATCATAACCCTCAACTATATCCTCAAATTTTTCCCTGGCTATTTCCATATGACTTGGGAGGCCTAAACAATGATCGTGGATCAAAACGGGTGTCTGAGTCGAAAAAAGCAACAGTTGCTTATGTATCATGATAAGCATTTTCAATTGGAACCTTATTTTTCTCTTGTTGCCTTTAATCACGAACAAATTAAAAATGCGACCACCATCAGGTTTTTGCTCATCAAAAAACAAAATTTTTATGAGATTGCAAACAGAATTGTCAACTTGCCTTTGGTCACTCTGGAAAGTCTGATAACCTGACTCGCAAATGATCCCATAAAGTCTGAGAGTGATGAAGAGAAGGAGTGTTTCAAAATTATCAATGACTTGGACCATATCGCGGTCAAAGTGCAAGGATCTTTGATGAACCAAAAGTGAATGTGAAATGAAATATGAGCACTGAGATCTTATCTGGATGCATCTTCTTGGTTCATCACCTTTGCCCCAGCAGATATCAATCACCCCATCAAGGATGCCTAACATTGCACATGCATATGATGATATGGATTAAGAACTGTGTAAGTCCTCAGCAGATCCGAGAAAGAATTCTTGATCATAACTCCAGTTTTTAGAGAGAGACAGTGTCACAGATTTTCACCACAAAGTCTGCATGTGACTTTTCTCACACCACAGATCACGTGCTTCACCAATATCTCATGCCACTCAGCCACAGACGTGACGCGTAGAGATCAGGTGATAGTCCACATCACATGTTATGGTCCAGACCCGTGGATGATATGGTCGGACCTGTCTATTGCAGGACACAATAGAGGCACCCATTTGGAAACAAAGGGAACAAGAACTATTGTTATACATCGGCCTTCCGCTTTCTATTAGTTTAGCCAGAAGCCTAGATAGGCACGATGTTCACATCGGAGAACAAAAGGAAAACCAAGATAGGCACGATGTGCACACGCATTACTGCGGCAACCATCGATCTTTCCACTTATTGTTCTACTTCCAGACATCCTATTGTCCCATGTACGGCCATTTGCTTATACCCGTAGATAGGTAGCTTAGGTAAGATAGCCCGCTGTATGTGTATATAAGATCAGCCATGTAGAGGACGAAACTTCAGATTGTTTCTCCTCGTCTACTACCTGTAGCACTCACTGAGCTCACCAGCTCCTTCATATATCTCTCACCCCTTCCTGCGACTGCCACATCGACCAATAAGTCAACAGGCTCTTTCGCCACATAGGGTTCAGGGGGATACTTTTGGGATCAGGAGGATCAGGGTGGCACGTTTCACGTGACTGTCCCTTTTTGTCTTTTTGATCTCTTGTCCAGTGTTACCGTGACATTAGAAACAATCTGACATTTTCTGCGCCCCTGCTTAGTGTCTAACACAAGCGGCCACGTATTTTCAGCACAAGCAGTTTCAGCCGTAGCGCGCAGCTTTTTTGACACACATTCCAACCTGATCTCTACCCAGTGTGAGCCTCAGCAAGACTCTGAGCTGCTCAAAGCCTCAAAGCGCAAGGCCACCCCAGAATTGACCTCGACGCCCACTACAAGCATCAGGAAACCAACAAGGAGCGTGAAAGGCTCCTCACATTTGCATTACTAGGCGCATCGTCCACAGACAGGCAGCGAGCAGCAGCTAGAGTTGTAGATACCACACACATCATAAAGCGCGGAATCATCCACAAGCTATGTGATCACACTCCACCGCTCGAATGCTACAAGCCCAGAAAGAGACGTCTTACCACTGGTAGTCGCAAGCCGGCACTGCCCCCAGAGCTTATCACCTCCAACGCAGTTCCTCCCCCCGTCATTGCTCCCATTCCAACTCATCCCCTACCCAACTTCATAAAGACAAACACCATCGCACGTCCCATCCACCCACTCTCTTCCAGAGTCAGGCCGACGATCCACATTGAGACCCTTACGAAGCAGGTAGACGCTATCCGCTTCAGGCTCTAACTCATATTAGGAGCATTCTCATATCGTCTCAAGGACGAGCACCAAGGACCCATCTTTAGCCTCGCCACAGAGCTCGATAAAGTCTGCGCTGACCTACACACAGGGACGTGCACATATACATTCGTCGAGAAGCAGGTTATCAACAAAGTTTGTCTGGAGATAGGAGGAATCAGTTTCAAGCAGATAGGAAAGGAAGAGAGGCTGCAGAAAATCGCCAAGGCTCTGGTCTTCATCTCGAAAGCGAGATATTTGCACTTTTTGTATTAGTTTACCTATATCACAATGGAGTCAGCCGATCGTGCGCACGCATCCATGTTCAGGCAACGAATGGATGACATTCTTCATACAAATGTCGAGTCAGCACACGACGGAAGTACCCCACGCGCCTCGCAGCGCAATTCACCAGAACCTGCGCTAGGACCACAGGGCTCTGCATCACAAGTCGGAGGGCCAGCATCCCCGACACCATCACTTGTACCCACCTACGTTCCACCCATCTGGGAGTTTGACGGACACCAATTCGAGCACCTAGAAGATGCTCTCTGACAGTCCGCTCCTGGAGAAGTTCTGGACCACATACGCGAATGGGTAATCATCACAATGAAGCTCACAGTCACTACCGAAATCGCCAAGGTCTACAATGTGCTCAGAAACAAAATGTACGAGCACAAGAAAACCTTTGAATCACTGATTTAAAACAACAAAAGCGAACACCAACTTAAGGAGGCAGTTCTCCAGACGGAGATTGGGAAGCTTAAGGATAGGATCCTTGCACAAGATGCGCATATGGCAGTTTTAAATGACGAGCTCACGGGAACCCAGGCGGCAATGCTCGACATGGGCAAAGAAATGATGGAAATCAAGGCAGCTAACGTTAAGCTGTGGCACGAGCTAGCTTCGCTCAAAGCAAGCGGCGTCACTACGATGCAAGGTCAAACATCTGGCACGGTCCAGTTGCACAAGCCACGCATCAAAATTGCCGAACCTCCACACTACTCGGGCAAAGGAAGTCTGGAGGATTGGCTCCAACAACTCGGTATATGGATGTGGTGGAACGAGATCAACGACGATGAACACAAGATTACCATGGCCTTACTGCACTTGGAAGGTGGTGCGTTTACGTACATGTCTGAATATGCAACCAGGGCAGCAGCACGGCAGGCACTCGGCAAATGGGAAGACTTCGTCGACATTCTCAAAGTAAACTACAGGACCCTCGACCTGGACAAGGATGCGCAGCAGCATTTGAAGGATATCTGTGGCAAGACGTATCTCACAATGGTATCCTTTGCAGAACAGTTCTGCCAATGGGCCACTAAGATCAACTTAGGGCACACTGCACTCATCGGTTACATCGCTGAACATCGAAGCAAGGACGTACACCAGGCAATGGTCACACGAGACAGCCTAGGAATTTCTGACCCCATCACGTGGCAGGAATATCTCGACCTATGTCTTCAATTAGAGTCCAAGTTCAGAGCTGACAAGGCAGGACAGCGCGGAACAGTAGCCACATCATCATCAGCACCACGGGCCCCAAAAGACCTCAACGCAATGGTCGTGGATCGAGTATCCACCCTCACCAAGGAGCAAGAAGGATGGCTGGAGAAGAAGCTGTGTGTACGATGTGGGAAACACCCCTTCATTTTTAAACAGCGATGCCCTGACCCCAAGTACAAAGGCAAATTCGAAATGCCAAAGCGGGGCCAAGCAACAAGGGCAATTTCTTCAAACACGGCCTCAGACATCTTCGACGACAGCAAGGTGAGATACAAAGCAGTCTGTGCTTTCATTGCCAGCTACGACGTGAAGGAAAAGGAAAAGGAGACAGAACTGGAACCAGCTGTCGAAGCAGCTAGGATCACGGAGGTAGAAGATGATGAGGATTTTTTTCAGTGGGTTCTCTGAGGTCTGGCCAGAGTTCCCATGGACACTGTAATAGTACCTACTCGCTCTCGCATGTACCAGTATCAAGTTTTTTATATATTGCATCTACTGGTTCGTCAAAACACGTGATCGATTTATCTGTTCACCTCAAACAGGGAGTAAGGGAAGTCCAGACTGAGGCGCTCCTCGATTCAGGAGCATATTCTTGCTACATCAACCCACGGCTGGTTGATCAGTTGAATCTCGCTACGATCTCACTTGAGAAGGAGATCAGGGTTTACAATGCAGATGCATCTCATAACAAGGGTGGAACCATTAAGAAAAGGGTTCTTCTAAGTATAACCATCAGAAACCACACAAGCAGGCAAAGCCTTTTGGTCACTGATATAGGACATAAAGACGTTATACTAGGCATGA